TTTCGTACTTTCTTCCTTCGTTGTACTTAATTTAAACTAAGGTAAGTTTAGTAATTATTTTAGTTGTTAATTATTACTTGTCTTACTAACTACTAATACTCATATATATATATATATATATATATATATATATATATATTAGAAATTTACTTGAAAATGCTTTTATTTACTAAAATGTTCACTACTTTAATATCAGAGCTACAGTTAAAAAGACTCTGTCACCAATAGTGAGTTTCGTGCTGAGGAAGACGAACAACTCCTACACCTCCTCCTAACCTTCTGTAGTTCATGTTACCACATAGTCGCCATTGGTTCTGATCAGGATCATATAATTCTATGTTCTTCAGGTACGTTGTACCATCAAAGCCACCAACAGCATAGAGAGAGCCATTCACCACAGCTAAGCCCACCTTTAGAAAATTAAGAAAATTGTTTATACATTAAATATTTGATAAAGCAACAGTTGATTTCATATAAACAAGGGTAATTACAATTTACTTAGGCATAAATTATAAAAAGTATTCTGATAAAGCTTTTACAACTGTAATAGACCTAGAGGTTTTATATCGTAAAATCAATCAATATGAATTTGTAAGTAAACATAAAAGACTACACATTTTGTGGATATCTCATGAAAATTTGAAAAAGCTGCATTGCATTTCACATACTGACATCTTTGTCTAAAGCTGTTATAAAACAAAACTTTAAATAAGGTTTTACTTTATTTAGTTTATACACATGGGTCAATTCAATTTTACTTAAAACAAAGTGCTCCATGAATATACAATTCAAAAAATGCCACTTTAAACCAGAATTTGTCTTGTTACATTACGTAATTATTTCAAAAAATAATATAATATTGTAAAATCTGAATGAGAAGAGGTTTAATGATAGATCCCTGACTATCACTATACATAAAGATAATTTTTAAATCTATGTAGTTTATTCTTTGCTTCCAAGGCCTTAAAAATAATTACAATTTGAAAATAAAATACAGTTTAAAGAGTTCTTCACAGCTATGATTCTTTAAACTTTTCTCTTCGAATCAGGTTCATAATCAAAATCGGAATGAATTTTGAAACATTAGCTTGTACTTTTTTACAAATGACTGTCTAATAATAACACTATTTCGCTACTAAACAGTGTCAGTGTTCCTTCCTTTCAACAAAAGTACTAAGACTCGTGATTTTTTACTACTCTTCTCATACAAGTTAAAAGGTAGCCAACATAGAGTTATGAAGTGTGATTCAGTAGCAGGTATGCTTACTCAAACATATATTTAACAGATTAAACACTACTGAAAATACAAGTGACAAATGACAATAAGATTCTGGAAATGTATTTATTTTGAAACATGGATATGTGAGAAAAAAGTGAAAATAATAAAGTTCATTTTACACTTGTAAAACTGAAATGTTGAGGTTAATTTCTTATCAAAAACTAAATGGTCATTGAGGTGTAAAAATGCAATATTAATAATAGCCAGAATTTGACTGTTCCTTAAATAAGTGCACAGAAAGTTGAAGTTCTAGGACTAGCATTTCCTACAAGCTATTAACAATTATTCTTTCTTTCTTAAGTTAGTAATAAACTAATTTAAACATATAATTGTTTTCAACTTACTACTGGAGCCATAGGCATGAGCAAATAGCTTATGTCATGATAAATTTGGTAAATCTGTTAAATGTTTCAACATAAACAAATGAATACATAATACTTAAATGAAACAGTCACTACTTAAATTCCTGGGAGACACATTTTAAATTTTTTATAAGACTACACAACAATTATCAAGTGCAGCTGAATTCAGTTTCTGTACAACAAAACAATGTTGGCTACAACAGAATGGACAAACAAATGGGACTAAAAGAGGTCAGATGTGCATCTAAGTTTTAAAGTAATATTCAAAAAGTAAATAAGGTTACAAAAAAAGTCTGCAATATGAAGAACTTATCAATTGTGCAGTGAGAGAGTTTAGAAAAATTACAAACACGATAAAAAGAGAGCCAGAAATATGTCAAATTACCCCATTATGAGCCACTGTCCTAAATTGTACATCATACAATTAAGATATTTCATTGGAATGAAGCTGGATATACTCCATTAATGTAAGAAGTGTTGAGTGTTTCTATTTAAAATTTCTACAATCTAACTCTTCTCATATAAATTAGTAAAGACATCATTACTTATTTTGCATTTGGCCCATTTTATATCTAGTGAAATACGAGGTAAAAAAGTCTTGAAATTACATTGTCACCTTGGTATTAAGCATTGCTGACAAACAAACAAACATCCATAATGTTGATAATAAATGAAATTGCTTATTATTGGCTGCTGTAGGTCCAGCTAAGATAACGAGTTCTGTTACCGAACTGAAAGAAAACCTGTATAGTTGCAGCAGATAAAAAATAAGATTATGTTACATTCTCACACTTCTAGAATGGAAACTGTAAGAACCTTTAAAAAATTCTGCAGTTTATGTAATTTTTAAACACTATGTTTACACCAAAAAAAAGTTCCCCTTCTTAACTACATAACGGCAAAGGGCAATCACATTCTATGCCTAGACTCTTACTTGTTTGTGATTTTCAAAGAAATTGATGCTAACAAAAAATAAACATATCTTTCACCTTTTTTTAATTGATGATTTATTTATGAACAATAACGGCAGCTTTGCAGTAGCAGGTCAGTAAAATAATTATTAGAGATATATTTCTTGTGTTATTTTGCCTTTGCCACTATTTCATTATGGTATTCATATAAAATTTCATAACTGAAAATTATATTACTATCTTACTTTTTAAATATATTCCATTTTAAGAAAAAAATTGTTGTATGCTATTATTATATTTGCATTAACTTTAGTGACTCCATTATACAAGTTTCAAAAACATATAAATTTATACATGAGATACATTAAATAAAGTTGTTTAAACCTAATCATGGTTAATATAGACTCTGAAAAAATAATCAATAATCAAAATCACATAAAAAATAAGATTAGTATCAATTAGAATTGTTTCGGTCCACCACATTTGGAGAAGATGCCAAAGAAACCTAACACACCTTTATATAATTGTTACACACATCATAAATGTAATATTTTTTTGTTTTCAAAAAACTAATGAACGCAGTTTGAGGAACTGCAAATAAAAAGACCTGGCAAAGTTTGACCCAATTTTTTCAAGTAAGAATTTTTTAGTAAAGAAATAAACTGCAGTTTGGTTCAACAGAAAAAAGAAAACCTGAAAGTCAAAATTTTACATATGTAATTTAACAGCATGACTGTACGTACACTAACAAACTCCACGTGCACTGTCAAATGGATAATATTGTCATTAAAAGTATTGCCTGAAACAGATCATTATCAAACATTTTTCTTTATATATACCTTACAGAATTTGAAATTAGCATTAAGTAATCATCAAAAGCTTTCATTAACTTTAATGGCTTACCCCAGATCTACGCGATGTCATTGCAACAATAGGCTGCCACTGATTCGTCTGAGGGTTGTACCTTTCTGCACTACTGAGTTCAGTTGTGTCATCCCTGCCACCAACAGCATAAATCATATTGTTATAGACAGCACAGCCAAGATGCTTTCTTTGTGTTCCCATAGGTGCTACAGAACTCCATCTCTTTGTACGTGGGTCATATCTCTCAACTGAAGAATAGATCAATAACATACAAAACATTTTAAAGAACTAAACATACTGCCAAAAAATGTCTTAAATAGTTTAAAGTTTTCAATGTTTATTCACCACATAATACGATGAAAAGACATACTTTTTTGTTGCCTTCAAAGGTGACTAGTAAACCTAAATTCAATATTTTGTTTAACAGGCAAAAAGTGTTTATCATACTTTACATTGAACTGAAGAGTAAAACAATCAATCAGGACAAATCAAAATGTACATTCACAGTTCTAATAATAAGATGTGAAAACAATACACTAAAACTCATGTTAAATTACACAATGCTCACCTTTTAATAAGATTAAACTACAGATTTTGTCACCTTAAGTAAAGAGTGACGATGATGTGTCCAGTAAGCAATATATTTAGAGATGGCTTTTGAAATTACCACTGCCACTCAAGCTTCCAATTGTAAAAAATATTGAGTGACTATATTGTAAGCATAAAATGTAGCAGTCTCTTTTACACTTAAAATCTGCTTAGAATGTATTATCCAGGTACAAACATGAATATAGCAAATACTTGTTAAATTATTGAAATAATAACACCATCTCTATCATAATAAAAAGTTTTAAAATTGCCTACAAATGATCTCACAATTATTTATTTTACTTCTAAATATTACATTTTGTTAGTTCAAACTTCCATTTCAAAGCTTTATAAAACTAAAAGGCAAGTGTGTCTCTAAATTATGATGCTACCCACAACATTGAAATGGAATCCTTTTTCTTATCAGGGTAACATTTCAACTGTCCAACTGCAGTAATCATCATCACATTTTTAAAAAAATGAATGATGCATAACAAAATAACAAATCACATGTTCTGTGGCAGCATTTATAACAATATCTTCACAATAATATCAGAATAGATCATTTATATATATATATATATATTTACATCACAACTTTCAACAGAAGAACTGCTAAAATTCTACAATAATAATTACAATTAATAATAGTCTTTTACATATATGCAACAAAGCATGACAACTCCTTATTCAAATACGTGTTACGTACTATTCATTTTAAGCTTGATGATTGCCCTAGTAGGATGGTTAAAAACCACTCCAATAAAAAGTATTTTGTTTTAAAATCTTATGTAGTCTCACTCATTTACTTTCTCTTTACCACAAACAATAAATATAATATATCACATATGTTTGTTTGGTGAGGTCATTATTTACATCAATACCATCTCTGTATCTATGCAGATTCACAAACCAACTTGTTTTTGTACTATTATTGACATTTACTACTGTACAAGCTTTGTGGCATAAATAATATAGAAATATAAAGCATCTACCATTTTGCAGGCAGCTACTGAAAAACTGCTGTAAAAAAAACACATAAATAGTCCCGCCGACAGGGGGGGGGGGCAACTGCCCAGGGTCCCGGGCAAATAAAACCTGGCTATGCCGTAAAGTCCGCAAAGCATTGTTAGGCTATATCTTCATTTAATGATAAAAACCATAGTTTTTGGCTTTTCTTTGCTTATAGACGCTTGATACATTAAGAACGAGCAAAATAATAATTTGAGTAATAATTAATATGTATTTGTTACTTTATAGATTTAATAGATATTTGTTACATCATTAACGTTTTTACGCTTATGAGGTAAAAACGGCTGCTGCTATGATTTTGTCTGGTTTATGAGCTCGTTGCTGTCCTAATTTAGGATCTTCTTTGTAATAAATTCTTGAAAATGTTATAAAAGAGAGAGAGAAAGGGGCTCGTGCTGGCTCTCGACATTCCTGCACATAAGCATTCCCAGTTTGCCCCTAAAGAAGAAAGGTCCACCTTTCAAATGCACTCGGGTTATAGTGTTTTTATCATCTTGTATCAAGACTTATTGAACCTATGTGTTTTTCTGACATCACGTAAGTATTAACTGAATATGCGTTGGTTTGGTCTATTGGACTGACCCCATACTGAAGAAGGAATGTTGGCTATAATTCTGAAGTTATTGTGTGTAACGACATAAAACGTGACATGCTTATGCTTTTAGTAAAATATCAAGTATGTTGTAGACAAAGAATCAGATGTGTTCCATAAGTATTTGTATTCAGGATATGTTTGTGAAATGAAGACATCAGTCTGACTCAGACTCTGAAAAGTCAGAGTGAAAGGTGATGTTCACGTGAGGAATCAAAATACATTTGTCCATCATATAACTTGCATTTGCATAGCTTCTAGAACCTCCAAAATACATGTATATATAGTATTTTCTTAGTATCCCTGTATATTGTATCTGGTATTTACCCTCTTTTACCATTATCACTAAGTAAGCAATGTAAGGTAAAATGAATAGTATATAACTCTGACATTAAATACATAATAATATGTTGAATGGCATTTGTTGAATTAAAAGGACATTTCACATGGTTTGAGTTCAGTTTTCTGTTTTTTTTAATTTACTCTACCTACATTGTTTCACATGATTTTGTTTTTCTATTAACCAAGTTGAGTTTATTAGTTTTAATGCTTAATTAAAGAAATGTACACTAATAGTAGTATGTCAAGATTAAAGAAATGTACACTAATAGTAGTATGGCAAGATTAAAGAAATGTACACTAATAGTAGTATGGCAAGATTAAAGAAATGTACACTAATAGTAGTATGGTAAGATTAAAGAAATGTACACTAATGTTTGAGCATGAATGAAAAATTGTGAAAACATGCTTAATGACTTTACCTTAACACACATTTGTGCTGGATAGAGTTAGCTATATCAACGGGGTCTAAAAGATAAACATGCATACAAAACAAAAACGTTTTCCTCAATAATAACAAACAATATATTTTACAATATTATATGTGGTTGTTTCTGAACAAAGTAAATATGAAGCCCAATCATGCTACATATTCTTCAATTCCTACATAAATATAGATTTACTGTGGTGAGTAACTCAATTTAAAACATGATATAAATATATAAATCTAGTAGTCAGTTATGAAAGATACAAAATTCATTTAATTACATATTTCACATTATTGCTCAAGAAACACCAAAATTATTATTCAATTGTTATTTTTAACACTAACATCGTGAGTCAATTATACAGAAATTGCCCTACAAATGATTAGACCTAAATCAATAAGTCATAAGAAATAGTTGAAGAACATTTATTGTTGCTTCTACTAAGTGTCCAGTTTTCTATCTTTCATATATATGCTGTAAACCATTCTTACAGTACAAATCATGGTCAATATTGAACGACCCTGAGGAAAAGTAGCCTTTTTTGTGGGAACTCTTTTCGTCAACACAAAAACAACATTTTGGGAGTTTCATTGTATTTTTCGAATTAAAAGGTCAAACCTTAAACTAATGTAAGCTGATTTAGCTGATTTTCTCTTGTTCAAAGTTGTCACCCAAACTGAAAACACATTTTTTCACTTGAAAGCATGGAAACCCTGTACTAAGAATGAGATACTTTGTTCTCTCTTTGTAATCGCTTTTATTATCTTAGCTAAATCAGTGGTAGACAGACGTAGGGAAAATAATTGGAAACATTCCAGGAAGTTCTTTGATAAAATGTAGTAATAGGATAACATTACTAACTACAGAATCAAGTTGTGTTAAATATACTACATACAAACAGATTTTTGTGAGAAAACATCTTTCCTATTGGTTTTAAAAGATCATCAAAAATTACATGGTATCTAATTGCATTATACAATTTGAATATTTCATTAGAATGAGGCTGGATATACTCAATCAATTTAAAAAATGTTGGGTGTTTCTATTTAGAAATCTTGATAATCTAAATCTTCTCATACAAATTAGTAAGTAAAATATGTCGTTATTTTGCATTTAGCTTGTTTTATATTTAAAGAGACATGATAGTCTAAAATTAGTCCTGTAGTTGGAAGCTCAGACCAAGCAAGAAAACCAAGACAACTGCAAATAAACATTACATTGGCAAGCATGGTGTTGGTGAATTCTGCTGATGTTCAAGTTATCAGGATCTTTCAGGCATTTCAACAAGAATGGGAACTCTGCTACTACTACTATAGCTCTCGAGTATTCTTGTCCTCTTTTGATTGGATTCTAACGTTTTTTTAAACATCCTCTCTTTCTGATGGCTTTAACTTTAACATGACTGCATCCACAATGCTTACATTTCATGCAAACATTACATTTTCCAACCTTGCACTTGCAACTGAGACTTCTGGGCATTCTGTCAGTTCTTTATTGACTTGTTTAGCACTGAAACAGGTCTTCTATATGTAAATTACTTCACAAAAGGCATTAGACTTTTGCCAAAATCTTGGTATAAATGGTGGAGAAGATCACATTTTCAAACAAAAGTTCCTCTGGAATAGTGAACCAATGAGCACAATAGTTTGATTGTTTGAAAGCTCCAGTCATAGTTTGTTCACTATTTTTCCCAAGTGAAATCAAGAACTTTCAAGCACTTTTCTTGACCACACTATAATTTCCAGGACCAAAATATGATATGAAGTTATGATGTAGAAGGTGCAACTGTATTACTAAGCTGTATTACAAAACTATAATGCCATTGACAAAAAATATCAGTAAATGACATTAACAACTTGACATACAGAATCATCACAAAACTGCTGAAACAACAATTTAGGACTGCATTAACATACTAGTATTTATTATTCCATGTCTATTTGTGATTAAAAACAAACTAAAATTATCTAACACAATCAGGTCTTATGCTAAAGGCATCTGATTATAAAATTATATTTTGGTTAGCACCTTCTATAATTTACAAAAATATCTTACAAGCATGTAAAGGTGGACATGATTTATGAATATGGCTCATATTTTGTTAAAATCACAAACTTGATAAATTTGATTAAAATATATATTAACTGACAATTTTACCTCTCTTTTTACTTTTTAATGTTTGCAGAAGTTCCTTCAATTTTCTTGAAGGAAAATAAGGTTTTGGTCTTTGTTTCTAGCAGTTCTTTTCATGCTGTTGAATTTACTAGTCCACATTAAATGCCCTGTTGCTTCTGCTTTCTCAGCAAATTCATCAGCCAATTTTATTTGACTTCCAATGTCCATTTCCAATTAGTCATTTCTTTTGTCTCAGATCCTCTACCACGTCCACCATCAATTTTCGTTTCTGACCAGTTTGTTCGTTTTTTTCTCTCTTCATAATATCAAAAGTTGTTTTGTTACTGAGAACAACATGGTGTGATATTATTGATTCCTTATACAGGTTTTCAATTTAAAGCTACTTATTCACCAAAAACTCTTGTTTAACACTTCACTCGGCTGGCCATGTGAAAGAAGAACCAAGTTTTGAATAATTTTCTGTAAAGGTTAAATTATTAGCTATGTGTTCATTTCAAAATTTTTTAATCTAATGGGTGACTCAGTCAGTGTCATTTCCATAAACTCTCCAAACTTGAGAAGCATATAGTCACACCAAGATCTTCAAATTTTCATAGAACTTATCTCTAGCAACTTGGATCTAGTGCAGACATGCTTCTAGCAAGAGCATACTTGATTAGCAATTTTTTTTAGTAACCTACCCATTATTTCAACCAGTGCAGTTCTGCATTCAATTTTAAATTCAAGCACTCAAGTTCACTGACTTATTTGTTTGTTAACAACTGTTTTGAAACATTGTCTGCCACACATACCACCTCCATTTTGAGGTTGCAGTAATTTCCTTTTTCATTGGATTCACTTTAAATTTGTTTATTAACAGACAGAAAAACTTATTTTAGCACTAACCAAGTTGTCACTGCACACTGTCTTAACTCTTTCAAGAGACAAATGAAGAAGACTCTTCTAATTTTTTAAAAGAAACTGAAATTAAACAATCAGCAAAGTGCTACTGAACATTTACTTACAAAATTTTGGTAGGTGAATTTCCAGTTTACATTTACACTATCCATAGGTTCCTGAAGAAAGATGTGTACATTGATATATTTCAACACAAGTACTAAACTTCTTAAGCATGGACTAAACACTGGGATCTGTAAAATCTTGTGGTTATTTTGACATTTTTTGACAGGTGAACATGGATATTCATTTGCTTGGATTGAGAATTATGGTTCTGAATATCATCATATAAAACACAAATTGATCTGTTTTTGCTCCAATAACATGGGCTTGAAACAGGAAGCAATATCATAACAACAAAGTTAAGCTAATTTTTGTTCTCCAAATGAAAATGATTTTGCTATTATGCTATCTGTAAAAACATCTAATGAAATAGGTTATTAACTCTTTCATTGATTTATACGAGTAGTGGTTTTTAATTATGTTTAATTATCATATTGTTTCAGACATTAAGCACTCAAAGCTGAAGTACTAGATGACTTACTATTACTGCTTGAGGATGTGGTTACAGAGACAAATTTAACTGATGATCCAAAGTAATCTTTCCCAGGCTCTCAAGGAGCCGTACAGTTCTTTTCAATACTAAATTTTAGTGCTTTTACCTTTCACCAGGTATTGTGATGACCAAAATAGCAACTAATTCTTGTATGATTGACTCTCAATTTTTAAAAATGCCATTTAATTATTGCATAATTGTAAACAAATCAGTAATTAAAGTCCAAAATACTGTACTATGGGAATATATTTATTGTAGTGTTCACTCACAGATGCCAAAATCATCTTTCAGATGATAAATTTTTGATTGCTTTGTTCTTCAATTCATGGTGTAATTCATTCTGCTTTTTTATACATAAGTTACCATTCATTAAAAATAATGAAACATGTACATTAAAATATACAAGTTTATGTATTTTATATATATAAAAACAAACTTACTCACATTTTTGAAATATCTAAAAGAATCCATTTAAAAAGAAGATCATAGCAGAAACATACTCAAATGTCCCATTAAAAGAATAAAAAATGTAACTATGACATTAATAGTATAAATACCGTCACATTTTATTGTTTGTCAACTGTGACAGCACAACATAGTTTATTGGAAAATGTACTACTTTGAACTAACCTAGCGTTTCACAACATTATGTAAATAAAATAGTTATGGGGTGTTAAAATGTATTTTAAAAATTACCATGTTTGCTTTTTGAATTTAGTAGATTCAATGTAACAGGATTTTTACCTGTTATATTACCTGTCTGATATTAAACTTTGATTTTCAGTTTTCTACACTTGATGAACATGCAATAAGAAGTAAACAGCACACATCAAACTTGAAAAATTCCTTGATACACTCCTTTAGATAATTGTTAATTAGGGTTTCCTATCTGCAGTGGAGTAGTCTTTAATTTAAGTACAGGTACATAACACAGAAAAAAAATGTATGTTAAGAGTATTTTAAATTAGTAAAGAATATGTTATTAGATTTAATATCTAAACTCATACACAAGATATTGAAATAGTTTACCTCATAAACATGAAACCTAAAAATGATTGATTAAAGCTGTACCTAAATTAAACAACACTGATTTCTAAGGCATCACAATGACCTGAACAATTTGCATAGTTTCAAATATACATAGTATGACATTCAGTACAAGCAGAATATTTATTATATTAACAATCAGAATTTACTTCCTCTCTCTTTTTTTTGTTTCAAGATCTTGACTGATTTTTACTATGAGCTGCCATTGGAGTAACTTTTTAAAATCTGCAGCTCTTTCTAAGACTTTCTTGACCCATTTGTATTTTATTCTCAACATTAAATGGGTTTGTAATAATATTTGAAATTACACTACAGCAAGTTAATTCTCATCAACAAAACAACTGTTGTCCTCTGATGTCAGAAACAATTATTGCTCTCTTTGTGTCAAATATAATTGAAGCAATGGCAAAATCCAAGACAGTTCAAAACCATAAGTTTCAACAGCAAAAGTAGCCATAATTAAGGAATTAAAAAAAAGGCTAAAATGCATGAAATTCAAAATGAGTAAAAAACACAAAAAACATCACACTTCAATTTATGGTGTCTAGTAAATGTATGGTGAGTGTTGTAAATGTATGATTAAATTTGGCTGTTGATGAGTGATTACATGATGTTTGGTAAAAACATTCATTCTAAATGTTGTTTATGTATAATAAAGTTGAGCTATTTTCACTTTTATGGATACCAACTTAGACAAAATATAGACAAACACAAAAAATTATCAAATATATATTAAATCATTTGAATACATATAATACACGAAACAGAAAAACATCAATGAATATGTATACTTTCACTTATGTATCTGATGAAAGATAAAAATAAATACAAAATTCAGTGGTGTAATTAAAGAAAGGGACAAATTTCTGTCAAACATGATTTATGTTTTCATATTAAATACATCATTGGAGTAGTCTCTCTCTATATATATAATTTATATAAAAATTGACACTTCATGTTATGGTAATTCACTTTAAAGAAAAAGATCTTTTTGATACTGACTTACAACAAAAACTGTGGTTGAACTTTCATCAATACACATACAAGTATGTGGTCAATTAGGAATGAAAAGCTTAACCAAAATTTCAAACTTCTTATAATGATTTATCAGCTTCTCTACGTATAGAACACAGTGAAGGAATTACAACAATACCACTTTGAACAATAACAAAAATATAATAAATACTAAAAACTATAATCTCATTAAAAGGCCATGAAAACAATGGTTGGAAATCACACAAGTCTAACAAATTAAAAAATACTTTAATAACTTATTTCTAAGTTTCTTTTGTAAATTATTAACAATATTAAACTATTTTTAGATGCACTTACCAGTGTTAAGAGGTGAGGTACCATCTGATCCACCAACAGCATAAAGATAGTTTCCTAATACAGCTACAGCTACACCCAGTCGTTTTGTACTCATGGGTGCCACTTTTGTCCAGTTGTTACTTTGAGGGTCATACCTGCAAAACAACCCAACAATAACCTGTAGTTTATACAAACATTAAGTTGCAAAAAGTAAATCTTTAAAGATAATTTAAATATACAATAAAGCTTATAACAAATTACATCAGAAATTATAAAAAATATAGATGGACCACAATAAAAACCTAAAAACTTTTCATCAACTTATTGAAACAGAAACAAATAAACAAGGTAATTTCAAGAGTTTTTAATTCAAGATTTAACATTCAGTGGCACAAAGGTGGGATATTTCAAACCAAATTATAAATATAATGCACTGTTGCCATCTCAGTACTAATTATTTATTTGCTCCAAAGTACACAGTCTATATATTCTTCCTCCAGAGCTTTTGCCAATTTACGTTTCTAATAGCCTAAGTTGAATCTGGAAATAAGGGCAAAAATCAGGAAATAATTTAATTATTTATTTTCTCTACAGAAAAGATAAATGCATCTTTATAGTGATTTACTAATGTATTTCAAAAAGATATGAGAACTGTTTTGCTGAAAGTTTTTTATGAGTCACCACCCAAAAGCACAACATGAAGAAACATACTGAAAGAACCTATAAAAAAATCTCAAATGGTTATCTAAGCAGCACAAATACTTTAGAACCTCTTAATATTGGCAATCGATGTGTTCGAAGGAAAACGAAGTTTGATTATAAATTAATTATCGTTATATTTAGCAACTGTACTTTGAAAATGTATAAAGACTGATGTAAATTC